TGCAAGTGCTTAACAGCATCTTTCACGTTTCACTTGATTCGCTGAATTCTTTTTATGTGCCCTTATAGTACTAAATGGCATATATTAAGAAAAAAAAAACTGCAGACTTGTTTGTGCAAGAGATACTCGGGATACAGATCATGCGCGGAAAAGGTCTCCCTTTTTCGTGCGCCAGCATGCAAAGACAGATTTGCCAAGGGCCGATAAAGCTCTCCAGGAGAATTTCGCAAACATTTTGACACAACGTAAATATTTTCAACCTATTTAAGTGGAGGAAATACTTTGGTTTGCTTTTGTGAAACGTATCTGCAAGTGAAGTCATTGAACGCTTTGTGGTACTTTTAAAAACTCGGTAATTGATTTTAGATAAACACATTTAGTTTTTTACACGTCACGCTAAAATGCAAATATGGGGGTCACGTACGAGCGCAGAAATCCAATCCTTCCTCCATGCGAGCGGAGAAATCTAGTGCTGTTGTGGCGATGAGTTAAGTGTTTCTGTCGACCAAAATATTAAAGCAACTAACTACGAACGACGACCGCTGATGTCAGGCCTCCGAGTCCCATCGCTTATGATGCTTGGACGATGAATTGCTACCGCACTTCCTGAGCGCGGCATATTGAATTGATGAGCAGGTCAGCACAAACAGCCTTCGTAAGCGCCCTGCGAAAGTGGCAGCTACAAACCTAAGTGGACAAAGCGGCTGCTTCTGGAAGGGGGGCAGATGGAGTGTGACCAGTGCGTGCTACATCAAGGGACTCCTCAAGTGCCACGGCTCCCACACATCAGCATAACATCTCCGAAGCTTGCAGATGTTGATCAGGTGAACAGGCCACTCAGCACACCCTGGTTCAACAGTTTCAGCAGGAAATGCCTCTTGCCAAAACAGCCCTGTAATATCCTCACAAATAGGTTTTTTGCGGCCCAAAGGCAGTTCTCTAGTCTACTCTGGCACCCTTAAAGGCGTTGTGAAACGAAAATGAAACTTCCCGGTTGCAATTTTCCCTGATTTATTAAGGATTGAAGACACCAATTCCGAAATATTTCGGCACAATATTCTTTCTGTAATTAATGATGCCCGTTTGAAATTGCAGTTTTTTGGGGATCGCTAGCGACTATGCGCGACCGTCGGTCGCTATAAGCACTAAAATGTGACGTCAGTGTTACGTCATCTTAAGAAAAGTAAAAAAAACAGAGCAATGGCTTTACTTCGCTCTAAAGTAATATAATTATAGGATAATAAAAAAGAAAACACAACAGAGCTGTTTTTGCGCTCTGAGTTCTAAGCTGTACAATGACAGTGAGTGACCTTCTCGGTTCTGCTTTCTACTACATCCGGGCTGTCACGTGTGCATCCAGCTTTCCGTCGGTTACCTTTGCTCGGTTACCTTGGCTAGCTCGGTTGGTGCGGTCAGGAAGCGTCCCAGTTTTTTTTTTTTTCTTACTGATTACACCAACTTGTGTTTTACTGTGTGTTCTCGCTGGCTTAGTCCTTGCTATGCCAACCGTGTGCATCGTCAGACAGTGCCGCACTACTTATGGAAGTGCAAACAACGTTCACTTTCACAAGCTGCCCAGCGAGCCTCAGCGCAGAGCAGCATGGCTTCGAGCTATCAACCGCGATGGCCCCGCTGGTCTGGGCTCAGAGAGTGGGTTCGTGTGTTCCGACCACTTTCTGCCGCAAGACTACGAAACCAACCTCAATGTCCTTCGGAGTCTCGGTTTTGAAAAAAAAAAAACGCTCGCCTCAAGCGTGACACCGTTCCGACGCAGAACCTCCTCCTCGACGCACCACCGAAAAAGCTGAGGAGATGCGAGGTAAGTCTGCCGCACGAATAGACGTGCGCAAGGGGGAGGAGGGTAGAAGCCAGCCACATACGTAACAATATAGGGAGGGGGGGAGTGAGACGGGCGCAAGATCAGCGGCATACATTGACATGATAGGGAGAGAAGCAGGCGCACGACGAATTATCCCCCCCGCTCTCTCTCTCTCTCTCTAAAAGGGAACCCTGCGCGCGTTGCTCAAGCGTACCTCATGAGGAATGGTGTTACCCACGCACTGTGCTTGGCGACCCGCGCTGTAAAAGCAGAGCGAAGGTGGCAGCCCTTCCTATTGATGTGTTTATAGAACTTCAAAATGCGCAGCGTATATTCGACCACTCTCCGTCACCCCCCCCCCCCCCCCCCCAATGTTCATGGGACGTTAGTTAGCTAGTTCAAAAGTAGGCGTAAACGAAGAAAAAGCGCTGAATGAAATTCTGCATGGCAATTAGACCCTGGGAGGAGGGCAAAGCTATGTCGTAGTTATGTACGTAAAGTTCTCCGGGTAAGTTTAGACACGCGGTTATAAAGCTGACACGAGAATAAAAAAAAATGCTCGCGTACATGCTCCAGCAGGCCTGTGCTGTCAGCGCAATGAGCGGCCCCCGTTTTGTATGTTTGGAAGCATATGTGTAGTTTCGGGCTTGTCACTTTCGCCACCTGACAACTTGGCTTTTTTACTTTTCTTTTAGGAATGGCCCCGCTCCCAGGATGTGGTCGATGCATCAATGTCTGAAGAAAGCCAAGTTTCACCACAAATGGTTAAAAATTGCACGCATACCTCCAAATCTACTTGTGCTGTTGCTTGCCAGACTTACGACATTCTGCCTCGAAGGGTTGAGAACTGCACGCAGACTACCACAACTACTTGCACTCTTGCTTGCTAGACTAGTGAAAGTGATGTGCGAACAAAATGTAAGATTTTTTTCGAAGTATTGGTGTGCTGCTTTTCTGAGAACCTTAGAAATTATTGTAGTAATAGGCCATTTTTCATGCTACTTACTCAATTTTAATAATGTGAAGAGGAACGGTGGATTTATTAGTGTGTCATTTTCCATTGAAATATGTGTATGCTGAACAAATTCTGTAGGTGGCAGTCGTGTTGCGAGGTCAATATAGTAAAGCTGTGAGGGAGTTTTGTGTAAATTATTTTTCGAAGCTGAGGAGGACATATTGCATTTTAGTGGCAGATAGTAAGAGTATAGCCTATATTGAGTCTGGTGTGCGTACCCATAAATAACCGATAAAGATATGCCCGCTAAGAACGCATGAACAAAAAATTAACCTTGAATATGCTCTGCTGGCATTACTGGCATTAAAATTGCCAAAAGCTGTACCCTTTGGCACTATACCAATGTTCTTTAATTTTTTTTTCTCACTTTCAGGTACCCAGGTGAACTTGTGTATGCGTTCAAGCAAACATGTGAAAGTACAGACAAAGCTCATTAGAACATCCTGTGAAGATGCTGTTAGAGCCACTGCCACTGCTGCTTGCCCCACAACAGCTCGATGTCTGTCACCAATTTCATTTTTTCCACCGCGATCGTCCAGTCCCGTGCAATCTGATATATTGGCCACAGCAGACGTACAATCGACTACATTGGGCATAGAACACATGCTGTCTGATACATTGGACACAGAAGACGTGCAATCTGATTTATCGAACTCAGAAGAGGAGGAGGATGCCATGAGTAATTCTGAATACATCCCTTCATCTAATGACACGTCCTTGCAGTAAGGATTGCAACTTTCTCTGCACTGTCACAGATTGTGCACTGTATGTGATTGCATAATAGTGTGATTAAATCATATGACCCACTTACATTAAACAAGCAAGAGTGGTCCTTGATCCACCAATACACTCTCTCAATATGCAGTATCATAAGCCACTGCTCATGCAAAAGCAGTGTGACAAAAATTATCTTTCTAAATATGTGCTATCATTACTTACAAGAAAAAAATAGCTGACAGGAAAGTGCAACAAAGTGGTCTGCCCTTACATATTTCACCTCTCTCTAGCCCTGCTGTATTCAAAACACTACTTATTAGCAAAAAGTGTGACAATGTGATGGAATGAAAAAACTTTATTTCAGTCCTGCAGGACGCGCTTAGCGCATAGCGGGCGTGTCCCACGTACGGACCGACAGGGACTACCTGGCGGCCGCTTCGTGACCCTGCTGGACGGCCCATTGCTGGTCGGTGAGAAGTGAGCTCCTGAAGTACTTCTCCCACTTGCTTAAGGTAGAGTCGGGAGGAGTTGTTCTACACTCCCAGAGCATGTGTGCGAGTGTCGCTGTGCGTCCACATGATAGGCATGTGTCGCTGGGGTATGCATCGGGATAATAAACGTGAAGCGTGGCAAGGTTTGGGTACGTGTGTGTCTGTAATAGGCATAGGGTTAATGCCTGCGGTCGGTTAAGTTTCGGATGTGGGGGTGGAAAATGCAACAATGTGATCAAAACTTTTTTTTCGTTGTTTCAGACATGTTGACACAACTGAAGAAGTCCCTCCACAAAATGAAAGGAAGTTTATTGTTTTTGAAAGTTCACTCAAGGAACTGCTAAGTACATGCCGAAAATGCTTTGCCGCTTGTAAAACTGCCAGCTCGGTGTATGGCACATTACTACAATTACAAACAGTGTGTACAAACAGTCACGTCCTGTCATAGAAAAGTCAGCCATTAATCAATGGCAAGCCAGCAGGCAACGTACTGATGTCGGCAGGGATACTGTTCGGCGGCACCAGCCCCACCACAGTGCTCCGTATGTTTGAACACATCAATCTGCAGGTGTTCACACCAAGGACATTTTTTAACTATCAGCGAGCTTATCTACTTCCTGCGATTGACAAGGTATGAAAAAGTGTGTATTGGTGCAATTGGAAAACAGTTTTGTTTATTCAATTCTGGATAGCATATTAATATCTTTGTCATTATGAACCGTAATGTTTTTGTCCTTGTGTTCAAGGACAAATAGTTTTTAAAAGAGGTTCTTGAAAGTCATTGAACACAAGCACTATTTCAGTAATGTTCTGCATTTAATGTAGCGTTAACTCAATTTTTGTTTTGAACCAGATCTGGCATTAACAATAGAACAAGTTGTTTCGCCAGTTGCACGGCTGCAGTGTCGACCTGGCTGGTGATGGACGCTGTGACTTGCCTGGTTTCTCTGCCAAATTTATGACATATTCACTTCATGTCACCCAGGTCAACAAAATTCTACACTTTGAGCAAGTGCAAGTCGGGGAGGTCACGTAGAGCTACTCTAATGTGGTTGATGTGTTATCTAACAGTTTTTCTCTTTCTGCAAAAGTGTGCAGATGTGAAATCGAGCACCTCTATGGAAAAACATACATTTGTGAAGTGTCTAGACCTGGTGAAGAAACGAGGGCTTAGAGTGGCATCGAGGGCAGACCGGCATGTGCAAATTACAAAGTATTTGAGGACACAAGGGCCCACCATCCCACACTTCTATGATGCTTGGCACATCTCAAAAGGCAACATCAACTGAAAAATATCTCAGCCTGATTTATGCGCATTACAGATGGCATACCTTTCTTCATGATGATGTGCGAAATGCAGCGCATTCACACTAAATTTTTTTGGAGCAAATAGATCAACAAAGAGAAGCAGAGGAAAAAAACACCAATGTAGCAAATAATGCCACAGAGAAAGAAAGTACCAAAGTTTAAAAGGTGTTAAGAGAGGGGAGCATTTTTCATTTGCGTTTCAAGTTCTAGCTGTTAGTCTTGAGTCAGGACTAGAGCAGTGCTCTGTAGAGGTTCTATATAAAATAATGAATGCACCTCAAACGTCGTTCAAGTTATCTAGAAGGCTGATGGGATACGCATGTTGAAAGTTCCTTTTTATCTCAGCTATACATAGAAGTTCCCTTGATAAGCATTCTGTATCATGCATGACATTAAACTACTATGAATTAATTTATTACACGTGTCCCAGGCATCAAAAAGAAGCTGGCCGCCCATACAAAGAAATCTGGATGCAGTGTACTCGTGCTGTGGATTCAGCCAGCTACCAATACTTTGCATTGGTGTGCAGCCATGAGTGATGGCAATCCAGAGCTGCTTACAGACATGTGGAAGAGCATGGAGCGGCATGTTGCTAATGTACACTCAGGGCGTGCAGGTCTGTACACGCATTGTGCCCATAGTGACCTGGGAGAGAGGCAATAACTAGTTCCTGGTTAGTACTGCAGCTATTTGCCAATTTATGCTCAGCTTAATTTGCTTTCTAAGTTGCAATAATGTTCTCGTGTATGAAGTACAGGTGGTGGTGCGCTTAATTGGCAAGCTTTTCCGGGGCTGGGTTGCATGCATTCAGCGAGTTGTCCATCTTTACTACACAACTTTTTGTTAACCCATCTTAGTAACATTTATGGGTGCTATATTTATCTAAAAAAGTGAAATTATATTAACGGTCACCACTATTTAAAAAATGCTTATCCGGAAAGCTGCTTTTGTCAACACAGGCACCCCTACACACAAGAAGTTTGCCGATGTTGTTATGGCACCTCGTCTTCTGAAAGACATTCGGCAACTGGCTCCTTCTATACACACCTTTAGCTTGGAGGCCTTTCATAGTGTGCTGATAGGCTTCGCACCGAAGTCTGTATGCTTCTCATCTGATGGAATGCGTGCAAGGTGAAAAGTGAATAATATCAGGAAAAACTGAATTTGAAGAGCTGATGTAATTATTTTTTCATGCAGGAAGCAAGTGGCAGTACTGCACTTTAATGAATACTCAAGCAACAGACAAGCAGTGACAACAAAAGGACAATCGTGCTGGAAAATTAAGCACCCAAAAGCAACGAAAGGCACGGCTGTTGCTTGCCCCGTGCAAGCCCAACCTACATATGGTAAGTAGTCTACCTGGCCCTTCAAGAAAATCTAAGGTCACTTGAAACAGACAGGAGGCAGTTTGGGCATACATGAAAAATTTGAAATAAGTTGACTATGAGCAATAGTGCCTATAACGAAATTGTGCACAACTAGGTACTTTCATTCAACTGCATGACTTTCAGTCTCAGTGCTCCCATACGATTTGTAATTTAAAAGCAGTGTGCCTTGTTATACTTATATCTGACATGAATGTTCTCAGAGGCCCACCCGTCTGATGCGCTGCAATCTAATAGGTTGATGTAGCCTAGGACTGGACAACCACAACAGCAATGCATTCGGACTCAGATTCACGGAAACATTTTTTCACTGGAGTCACTCAGACTCGGACTCATACCTATGGCTCAGTCCGAGTCTAAGTGTGTCCACATGTGAGCGGGTTCACCGACCTATGAATCAAGCTAATAAATTAGTATTTTACATCACAGGCTTCAAGATTTGTGCAGCATACAATTCAGTAATAAAAATATTCTCACTTTAGTAGAACGAAAAAGAAAAAAATTTATTTTTCCTCGATATGAGAAGCTAACTGAAATGTGCGTTATTTGGTTCCGGAGTGAAACCCAAACTTTTTCATCATTTTTCGGTCAACATAGAAACTTGCTAATCCAGAACAACCGAGGTCATGCACCACGGGCAACAATGCTTATTTAGATTACAGTACTAGTTCATATCTGAGGCAGGTATTTTATGTAATAACTTGTTCCAATTGTTCGAAGAGCAGTGGCAATCGAATGTTTCTAGTAACTGAAGTGGGCTTTCAATTGCCTGTGGCACATGCTTGCATGGAGAGCGGATTGTCAGTGCAGTAATTTGTTTTATATCAACAGTGATCTTGCAATAAGAGTATGCTCGATAATTGGCTGCTCCTGAGGCTATGCCTACTCCCTTGACGCAAAGCATTGAGCCTGCTAACAAAATTCTTTATTCACATTTAATAAGAAATGCTGCTACGACATGTGGACACTGGTGTGTGCCGAATTGTAGAAATCATGGTGCTGTTACTTGTGCTCCTCGTAAAAATGTGGCAAAAACTTTCTCTATTCCTGTCAGGACAACAATACAACAGATCCAGTATATTTATTGTTATTTCAATTTAACTTTTTTTCATACAAATATTACCACCCTTGCCAAGCTTTTTTCGTTCTGGAACAGGAATCGAATAAAACTTTTGTGATGAAACAAAGGTGGAAACGTATTGTTTAGACACCTTTATACCTATGCAGATGTTGTGTGTGCACAATCGATGTATATTGTGCGCGTCGGCGGCAGCAGTGCAAAAGAGGCGCTTGTCGCCCTCTAACCATACCTCCACTTACCCCCCCACCCCCCAAGTTACTCAAGCGCTTGCTTCTCCCCCCCTCCAAGACAAAATACTGCTGATGACCATGGTGTGTATGGTCATCAATAAAGGAGGCTTTGCTGTACCTCCTCAGTACTATGTCCTGTATGTCTGGATAGTGCCTGCTATATATATGAAATTACAAGAGGGTGATATTAAATGCAACACTATTCAATTCCAGAATATGTTGACCAGCTATTGAAGGAGACTGCACGTTGCTGTGAACAGTGGCCATCATTTAACGCAGCTTTTGCTGCAAACCAATCAACTGCTCCACCACCAATGAGCCATTCTTTTCCAAGGCCATCCAAACATGAACTTGTGGCAGCAAGAAGATCTAGGTTTGCCACTGGTACGGGAAGCACCACACTCTAGCATAGGTGGGCATACTCCAATACATTGATGTAGTAGTGTCAGTCATTTACTTCATAAAATTTATAAGGGAGTGACACGTTCATCTACAGTGCCGTAAGAAACACTGACGTTACCTGGCAGTTTGTCTGGAGCAGAACATTTTTATAATGATTTGTTGCTCTCTTCACTTCTATATACAAACTGGTATACGGCAATAGACATGAGAACAACAGAAAGCATGGCTTTCGATCCATTCAAATTATGGCATGCCTCGACTACTGCTAGGTGAATCTAGCCGGCATCACTATAGCACTAGAATCACTTTCCTGCTGGTGCTATTGCACAGCAAGAGCATGATTTTGTCCTTACATTTTTCTCCGTCGTGATAGTACATGAAACTGCACATTTATTATTCTGATATTGTTGCTCCGTCAGCCGAAAAAAGAAAACTAGAGGGACTCAATCTGTCTAAGGAACAGGTGTGGACAGAGTGCACAAATATATTTATTGTTCAAACATATGCTTCATAGGCAGTATCAGCACATTAAAAACAATATAAAGATGTATCCAAAAAACAAAAAAATAAAGTGAACTGATACAATCTTCATTTTGACTAATCGTGGTTTCCTAGGCATGTTACTTTTTGAAGTCCTTTCATTTGCAGTAGACCTTTACAAAATTCAAATCATTAGACTTTTGTACCATTTTTTTATTGAAAAGGCTTATTAATTGTGTGCATACTGGAAACCAGTGAACGTTTCAGATGGAAATCTCTCTCTTATTTCGTGTACAGCACAAGCAAGGAGCACCTTCCCACGATATCTGCCCAGGCGTCCCCAAAGCCAGTGTGCAAGCTGTCTGTAGCCAAGGTAGTGGTACTGCCTGTCAACAAGAGAGGAAGAGCAACAGTCATCATTTCCTTCCAGCATATCTACTGTACAAAGTGACCCTTTAGGCCAGAGAAACTGAAAAATGAATTGGCGTGAAGCTGAGTTGAAGTTCAGTAGCATTACATGCATCTCTTTGTCTACCTCCAACCTCGTTTCCAAGCCAAATGAATTGATCCACCGTGAATGTTTTTCTTAGCAGTGCAGTCAACTGAGTTGCACAACATTGTGAGGATGGTTGAAAAGATGAGAAGACAAAGAAAAACTGTAGCATGACTGCAATCAGCTGTTGTGGCCAGTCTAATGCCTAAAGGCAACAGTTTTCAGGCACACAAACCTGATGGTCATAGTGAACCTTCTGCATAAGAAAGGTTGTATGAATGGCACATCAGGAAGCAGCAATGAAACTTTGTTCTTGGTGCCATTCATCTGCACGTGCCAATGCGGTGGTATGCTCCTTGAGCGTGATGTAGAACACCCTTCTGGAAAAAGGAAGGTCAAAGAGAAACTCGATTCATACAGTGCACTAAGAGAAAAGGATATTTTGCCAATTTGTGAGCTGTCGTGGTAAGCCTGTCTTTGGAATGGTGCAAGAAAAGTCATTTTGACAATTCAATGCCTGTAATTCGTCGCATGTAGCTGAACCCTGATGAATCATGACTACCACAAAAGGTAATATTCACGCACTTCATGTTCTAAATCGTGTGCTTCAACAAATAGTGAACGCACCGTATTTTCATCCCACTGTACCAAATTTTCAAAACGTAATATAATACATGTGACTGTTCCTCACAAACACAAATTTCTCCATCAATTTTGTCCTACATCACTATCAAAACATTTTTAATGAGAAAAAAGTCCCTCATGCACTCATAGCCAAGACAGGTGGTCCGTACCATACAAGCGCACAAATTATCTCATGCAGTCACTGAGGCTTAGCCTACCCTCATTACTAAATAAATATTAGAAAGGAAAAACACTGCAACTAATTAGACGTGCAAAGAAATCAGAGTGCAGTTTTACAAATCTGAATGAAGGCATAAATAAAACGAAACAGTTCTTGCATTTTTAGATTGTTCTTCTTTTATCGACGTTCAAATGTTTCAATGAACAATGTACGTAAAATACCATTGTATATCAACCATGTTTATTTTAGTGCTTTTTTTAGTGTTATCACTACCACTGTTTTTGATGTGCAAATGCATTTGATCAATATTTTGTTCAAGATACAGTGTGTTTGTGCGTGTTATTCAGGATGTTCTATTTTCTCAGTTGCACTGAAATAGTGTATTTAGATATATAGTGAACATATGTATGTATGCTGGTTTTAGTGGTACTGCCACCACGTGAGTGTCTTCAAGCAAATTCAAGCTGTATAGTGCAGCTTTCGCCTGCAGGACCCTCAACAATTTTATTGGAAAATAATACCATTTTGGATGTACTGTTATTGCATAAATCGCAAGTGTGATTGCAATAAAACCACTAATTGCAAGTTAGCGTCATGTGTGTGTCTCCCTCTTATCTATCCCTGTCGTGGTGGATACATGATACGAATTATGAATCTAAACCAAGTTGTCCGGCAACGTGACTTGGCGATTCTTTGAGTGTTGTTGTCCTAGGCCTGTCATTTAGAGGCCTACATATTCTCATGATCATCTCAATAGAACAGCACTTCTGGATTCCCCTGTGCTAAG